CTCAGTGTTTCTTCAAACAAGCCTGATTTCTCTTATTGCTCATTATTCATGTTTGGTTTAAGACCTGGCAAGGAACACCCCAGCCCTGCTCCGCAGATCCCCAGCCAGTCTCATGGCTATGTGTAATCGCGTGGGATGGGCTGTCCCTGCAGCCACTGCCATGGCGAAGATGCAGTGAGAAAGTTCAAAGATGCACTAGAACAGTTCTTAAAAACAGGAACAAGGGCCCTACAGAGGTGAAAAGGAGAGGCTGCCTGCCAGAGTCCTTTGGAGTTCACGACCGCTGGTGCAGGCTCAGCACAGTACTGACATGGGCTGGGTTACAACACAAACCCACATGGGAGGAACAAAGTGTTTCTCCTTGCATGTACCCAAAATGGAGACACCAGGGGGAAATAGCAGTTTGCATCTTCTTCTCGTGCAAACAAGTCAAGGAAGGATTAGAGGTGTTTTAATACATAGAAGAATACATGGCTGCTCTTGTGAGCAAGGAAAGACTGGAGCAGAGCCATGCACAGCCACAGCACAGAATTATGCAATCATTTAGGTTGGAAAAGACCTGTAAGGTCATAGAGTCCACCACTAAACCACGGCCACATCTACACATCTTTTGCATACCTCCAGGGATGATGACTCGAACTCAATCACTTCCCTGGGCAGCCTGTTCCAATGCTTGATTACCTTTTCAGTGAAGAAACTTTTCCTTCTATTCCTAAGCCTCCCCTGGTGCAACTTGAGGCCATTTCCTCTCATCCTGTTACTTGTTAGTCATCCCCACCTGGCTACAACCTCCTCTCAGGTAGTTGTAGAAAGCAATAAGGTCTCCTCTCAAGCTACTTTTCTCCACATGTTGCTGATGAAAATCTAGATTCAATCTTGTCTCAATGTATATATACCCACATTAGGCTTTAAGGATAGTACTTACTGGGAAACTAAAAAGCAAAATGCAAATAGTGGCTGGAAAGTTGTCTGTGTCCTGACCTGGGAAAATCAATGAAAGCTTATGTTGTGGGTGACTTTGACATGATGGGACCCTTAGGCAGGACTTGTCCCTGCTCCTGTTCTCTGCTGCAGAGAACCCATCCCCAGTGCTGGGAAAGCAAAGGCAGAGAAAAATGAGCTCCCTTGCTTACGCCTAATTTCCTGCAGAATGACCTGGGTGACACTACAGAGGCAAATTTCACCCAGCAGGTAATTTGTCATATTTGCTGTAATATATCTGTGACCATCTTGGATTTTAGAGTGTGACCCACTTTCTGCACTAAGTTCCCATACTGTTTCATGGAACAATCTGTGCAAAGAAAAAAAAAATGTTAAAGCAAAGGAAGCTGCCAAAGTCCTGGGCAAAGGAGTTGCATTGTTTCGGAAAGGTAAAAAAATGCTGGGGTGGGTGCCCTGTGGGTGGGTGCCCTGTGAGCTGTGGCCAGAGATTTAGTGACACAGCTCCCAGTGCCAGATACAGGGTAGAGAAGATACTGAAGATGTGTTCAAAGCTACAGTCCACAGGTAGGGAGGGTTTGAGGGAGCTGATCATGACCCACCCAGGCCCCAGCAACACCAAACACCAAGGTGTATGGGGAGGAGCAAGGAGGGGATCCTGCTTCTCACCTTCATGTGAGAGATAATTCCCTCTAGTGACAGCCCAATCAATACAGATTTTGTTTGTGATAAATTGTTCCTCCATCAGGAAGAGCCAGCTAGCTCTTAAAATAACCCACCCAACTGGTGGTGGTGACCTTGCCCCTCTGTCCCCAAAGACACCAGGCTGCTTCCATGACAGTTCCTTGCCTCCTTCTGGCAGTAGTCTCTGACTCGTGTGACATGGCTGAAAGCCTGGGATTAACCTGACCCTCTGGTGATGCACTGGTTGCCCTTTAGCCACAGTGAACATGTGAACATGTGTGAAGTGTGTCTGCATCCAAACCACCACACTGGACATGTGTAGGCAACAGGTAAAGTCTGCTTGCAGGCACACTGCTCCCAGTGATGCAGGCATGTGCATATCTCCAAAACTCCTACACAGAGATGCTCTGCTCTCCTCTCCCACCCTTTTCCTTCTTTTCAATAGAGCATCTCTCCTCCCGAAAAAGATAACAGCAATTATCAGGTTCATCAGCACTGTATCTGCCGTGGTGCAGCACAGGGAGCTCAAAATGCCAGTCTGCCCACTGGACCATTAAAGTCAATGGCTGTTCCTAACCTTTAAATATGAATAGAGCCCTGCATAATGGATCGAGGACTATCCATGGAGACCATCTGCCCCGTGCTTGCAGAAATGTTCACGTTGTTCTTCACAGGAGTTTATTACTCAGAGGCTAATGCTAAAAATACATTGCAAAGGGCCTGATTTAAAAACAAAGGGCCAATTCAAACTTGGCAAGGGAGATACCCAAGGCTGAACCCAAACACCTCTGCCAACCACGCTGGAGTTAGGCTGCAACCAGACAGACTTTATCTGAAAGGCAATGACATAATTCTGAATTAGCTTAACAAGACCTGCAATTCATACAGAAAAGCCTGAATTTATGTAGTAATTAGCCAGAGCTTTCAGAGTGTTAAATATCTCCATGGCAAGAAAATAATCACATAGGTTATTAAAGTGAGGTAAATATGGACACAGTGATGAGATTTTTTTGTACTAAACTATTTTTGCTAGGTTTGACTCAATTTTTGACTAAAAATACAATTCATAAAAACACTTAAACCACTTTACAAGTTGAAGTTTCCTATTAATCACCTGGACTTAATTTCCCAAATGATTAACCCCTCTACACAACAGTCTCTCTATGAAAGACATTCCTGGGAGCCCAACAAGCAGTAAAGCTCTCTTATATTTTCATTGATTTCTCAGCTGGTTTTGAACTCTGCCTGTATCAACATGCAAATGACATCCTGAAGAAGGAGCCTGGAAATTGTTCTGAGTCCTTGTTGCCAGCCAGGAAAACAGAGACATCCTCCGAGGAGCTGCTCAAGAACAGCCAAGATGATCAAAGTTACCCAGTGACTGGGGATGCACAACCTCAGCCTCTGAAGCAGCTCTGATTTTAAGAGAGCTGCTTGGCAACAGCAGATAAAACCCTTCCCAGTACTTAGCTGGCCTTTTAATTAAAAGGTTCCCCATATCAGAAGCCACCTTTGAAAAGCTCAGCCTGGTTGGGCTTCAGAGGATCTCTCATTTTCCCTGGGATGCCATGCATGACCACCTTTCCTGGGCATCTTCCTTCACTTCTTCCCGAAAGGTAAACTGGGAGCATCTTACTCACGTAATTTGTGCCAGTCCCAGTCTGAAATGAAATCATCTTGCCCTGAAAAGAAAGTCCTTAAAAGCTATGAAAACAGTGAGAGATAACTGGAAAAACTCCCAAATCTGGGATTGGAAAGTTTAAAGAGGCAAAGGGAAAGACAGAAGAAATTGGGTCCAATGAAGCAGGACACATTCCCAGTGTCTGCACAGGGCTGTGCAGGGTCTTGTCAGACTGTGGCAGGCAGCAAACTCCATCATGGATTCTTTGGCACATTTCAGAGAAAAAATTGTAGCACCAAAGAAAGGGGAACTTTCTAACCTCTAAAATTTATGTTCTTTCACTTTCTTTCTGCAAAAACATGGTAAGCTTCTTTATCAAAATAAGCTTCTGTAATGGTATTTTTTTTTCTCCACATAAGAAGAATTTGGGCTTTATTAAACAGCCACCTAAACTTGCTATTCAGTACAGTCAGCAAAGGAAACCAGAAGTGAGATGCCAGGAAAAAGCAGTAATATCTCCACTTAGAGAAGCAAATGAAAAAGAGCTGCTGCATTTGTGAATGCTGCAGTGAAACAGTTTTTAAATCTTTGGTACCCACGATAACATGCAATGCTTGACTGATTATGCCTGACTCATTTTAAGAATGCAGAAACAAGATTCAAATGTTGTGGTCCACCTCAGAGGTACCATCCCAGGACAAGGTCAATGACATTTTTTCACACTCAGAATGATACAGAAATGATAAAGCCCATGGTGCCCAGTTCACATCTCAACAGCTGCTTTTGGATCCAACCCATGCAAGAAGAGCCATTAGTGTAAGAACATCTGCAGCATATCTAACACTCCAACATCTCCTGGCAGACAGACTGACAGCATGAACGCAAGCAGGCTGGAAACAGACTATCGGCTACCATGGAACTACATTTTTTTCAATAGTTGGGCTTTTTTGCTGGGCTCGCCCTGGGAAAGCAGGCAGGCTTCTGATTAACATCCCTTTCAGGGTTGCCTCATCAGCAGGGTGTTGTGCTTGAAAGGACAGTTGGTTTAATTGCTCAAATTTGAATTTCCAGGGGAAAGAACACGTTCTTTTGCTGGCAGCACTGACACAAGTTTGTATTGTAGACCAAGTCTGATTAAATGTATTTCCACTTGGATATTGCAAACATTTCTCTCTCTTTCTTTTATATTAAAGTATTATCATGTACTAGAACATTCTAGTTTACCACTACTAGAACATTCTACACAGCAAAAATCCCTTCATTACATGCTTAACATTAACTTCAGACCAAATAATTTTTTGATACTTTATTTTGCAGAGAGGGCAGGCTAATGCAGCTACTGGCAGACCTGATGAATGTGAGAAAATTGCTTCCCATGCTACCAATGTTAAATGTTAATCCAGCAAATACCTGGTACCTGACAGGAACTTTATTTTAAAAATTTGTGGTCACGGTAACCCAGCCAGCAGAGCCAGCAGCTTTTCCTTCATTGCCTTGAGTTGCTCTGCATCCAGCAGAAACTGAGTTGTCACCTTCCTGCAATCTTTACCCTGGATTCAGCAGGGATGGAGCTGGATCCCACAGGCACCAACACCACTGTGTTAACCCAGCCACAACAGCCAGCTCCCAAAATCCCTATGCATTTAAAGGCAATGTGTCTCAGACAAGACTGACAGATGGTGCAGGGAGCCATCCTCGCCCTTCCCCAAATACCTGACACTAGGAACTTGGTGCATGGCTTAGATAAGACAGGCAGTGACAAGAAAAGTAGTCTTTTATTTCAATTAATATTTCTTGGCATTAGGCAGATATTAAATAACACTGGAATGCACAAGACTATTAACATATCGACAGCAAAAGGGAGGAGGTGTAGCCAAGTTGAGAACAGCAGTGCCAGTCACGTCACCTCGGGGCACTCAAAAGCCATTTAACGCAGCAACCACCAGAAAGTAGGACTCCACTGAGAAATACAAAATGAGGATGAACTCCTTTCAGGTCTTTTGTTAATACAGTAATACCGGAATGACTGACAGTAAAAATGAACAAATATTTGCATTCAGGAATTAAACAGAGTGAAATATCCACAAACTGCTAGTCATGCATTTCTTTTGAAACAGCAATTTGCTAATGCATAAATATCACAAAAAAAACCAACCTCCAAGATTTGAATAAATCACAGACAACTAGAAGAAACAAAGCTTGAATTCTATTTTATGCCTTAAATAGATGACCTAAATATTTAAAATTTTACTTCACCATATATATATAATTTATATATATATTAAAAGAAAGTAAAGACCATTAGATAAGTGCAAGCAATTTTCCTCAAAAAGAAAATTGGAACCATGCCCAGGAAAGCTGCTATTTTTTTTTTTTCCTTTTTTCTTTTTTTAATTTTTTTAACTTTCTACTCCATTCAGTCCACTTTTTTTTTTCTTTTTTTTTTTTTCCAACATAGTAATTTCTGAAGCAAAATAAATTATCTACCATCTGCTATTTTGGGTAAAAGTCCTACCTAGCATCTTCTCGAGAACTATGGGAACATCACCTTTCTCACGCACTAAGTGAAGTGGTATCTCGCCAGCCATTGAACTCTCTCGCAGCTGCATGTAAACAAACCTTTCGATTAATGTTTAAAATGTGCAGAGTGAATGGTAACATTACGGGGAAGCAGAAACGGAGCTGCCGCAGGAGAACTGCACTGGTGTTAGTGGGGGGAGCGAGGGCTGGTTCGCTCGGACACACACACACACACAATCTGGCAACGGGATCTTATCCGCGGAGTGTGGAGGGACGGTTGAGAAGGCATCCGTTTGCGAGCAAAGCTTGAAGGACACAAGCCGAGGTTCTCTGAGCACACTGTCCGCTTTCATCAGAATTGGCTCGCGCTACTGGGGTCGCACTGTAACAACCGCACGATGGAGGGATCGCTCTTGGCACCTTTGATGAACTCTTCCAGTGACAGTTTACCTGATAGGGAGAACAACCAAAATGGAAATAATTTTTTAAAAGTCAATTGTTCCTGTCACCATTGCTGTAGCAAAGAACCCCTTCTCACCGAGGCAATGTAACATCTATTTAACCTATTGCAAAGGCATCGAGGGGAATTTAGCGCAATGCACAGCAGCTAAATCCTACTCAAGCCTTTAAGCCCAAATGCATTTTTCTTCTGCAAAACAATCCAGCACAATAATTGCTATTTCTTTATTTAAAAAGACAGTCCCAAATCTAAAAACAACTGCTCCAATACCATTTGGCAGCTTTTTGCTCAGAACCAGACTAATGAATACCATGTCATACGAACACAATGTATGGTACCTGAACACATGTATGCTTTGAAATTACGCTTTTATTACTACAACACTTGAAACCTAAATATTCCAAATATCCCAAATTTGCCCTCTTGTTTCTTGTGACACGTGGGGCTGAGCAGTCATGGCTTCTCTGGCACTACAAGGTTGGATGGGGGTTTGAGCAACCTGATCTAGTTCAAGATGTCCCTGCTTATTGCAGGGGTGTTGGGCTATATGACCTTCAAAGGCCCCTTCCAACCCAAATTATTCTGTGACTCCATGACTTTGCCAGTCACTTGCTGTGCCCTGCTGGGTGTACAAGAACAGGATGGGTTTTGTTTTTTCTTTTTTTACAAGCAAAGCCAGCCCTGGGGCACACTTACTGCTATGTGTTGCTCCTGATCATTTCTGTTTTATGCATCTTTAGTTTAGGCCAGCGGAACTGACTTGGATGGACCTCAGACTCTGAGGCTCTGAAAATTGATCTTTGAAGGAGCAACAAACCCAGCATCCCTTGGCTCCAACAGTCCCATGGAATGGTATGGTACAGCAAGGAGGAAATATTCCATCTGGTCCTTCAGACCTCATGGTGGGGTGACCCAGCCCCCTGGCAGGCAGCTAGCACAAATACTCCCCTGCTCCAGCACTCAGAACCACAGCAGAAATAGGGCATGGCAATGCTAATGAAAAATGAAATCTTGCCTATGAAAAGGAGGAAACAAGCATTTGCTGCACCCTAGACACCATGTCTAGTGATCTCCCATTTAGCTTGTGCATTCACCTACCCTACCCTCACACAACACCCCAGGGCTATCCTTACCCACCCCAAATTGCTAGGCTCGAGACAGGACCCACACACAAACATCTTGCACTTGGGAGCTGCCTGCTGCCACTTTTGGCCACATGCACCCAAACAGAGAGAGGCACCAGCTCATTGTGCCAGTTGGCACCAGCCCCAGGACACGACCAGCCTGTTGTGGGGATGGAAGAGGAATGACCCTGGTGGCTAGCAAACAAAAGAGATAGAACATGAAGGAACTCCTCTCCCAAGTAATAAGCAATAGGGCAAGAGGAAAGCACCAAGGAAGGTTTAGATTGGATATTAGGAAAAATTTCTTCCCCAAAAGAGTTGTCAAGCATTGGAACAGACTGCCCAGGGCATTTAAAAGACATGTAGATGTGGCACTTAGGGACATAGCTCTGTGATTCCATGAATTAGCAAGCCCTCCTCTTGTAGAAGTTACAGAGGGCTCAAAAACCCGTGGCACACTAATTTCTGGCTTTAAAGCTAATGTTCCCAAACGAAGTGTTTTTAACAAAAGCAGAGGTCTTCTAATTATCAGGATATTTATTAGTTTGCCCTTCGCTTTGTATTACTTAAAAGCAAAGCCGAAATCAAAATCTATTTGCAATGCCCAACAGTCAGATGGGGAAGAAACATTTTCAGCCACCAGACACACACGTGCAAATGTTATTCCTTGGCACTGCATAGATTGCAGGGATGATATTTTACTGGGAACAGGATGATTTTATTTCAGCAACAAAGTGCAACAGATGGAGGATGCATATATATATAGCAGATTTTGGGACCACTACTCTGTTACACATCTGCACACGTTGCTACTTTCCGCAGACCAAAAGTATTTTAATCATGTTATTTTAGGGCCCTCCACATGTCAAGCCAGGGGATGAAGTGCTAGTTTTGATGAAGCCAAAGGTAAAATACTTGAGGACTTCAGCAAGGCCAGGAATTTGCCCTGGGGACTGCAGCAGCAGACACCAAAATGCAGCCATAAAATCCTCTTAAATAAAACCCTTTATGTACATAAGATGGTATTTTTTCAGATCTCCATTTCTCAGTGCTAGAATCAAATCTTTGCTCTCACTGAACACATTAGTAGGGCACAGCTCTGACTGATGTGGGCAGCTACCACCTCAGCCTCTGAAAGGATAATTCCCAGGCAAAAGCTCCACCTCAACTGGGAATAGAGGACACATGTCATGAGGCTGATGAGAAGAGGAAATTGATCATTTTCTCCTGTATTTTTCAAACCCAAGGAAATGAGCCAGCGCAGGTGGAGGGGTTGTGATGGGTACACTGTCAGGTAATTTATCAAGGAGCTCTGCAACCTGGCTTGGGAGCTGCTACATCCCTGTGATGCTCATAGTGCAGCAGAGGTGTGTGACCATGTATGTATACATGCCATAAACATGCACTTTTCATTTTGTTAAGAAAATAAGTGTTATGGACCTGGGGAATTTTTGCTTTCAGGTACCCAACCACATTCAGGACTCATGTTACTGATGACAAACCCAGGAGCGCAACCCTATCAAGGACAGTGGGAGCAAAACCTCGTGCCAAGTTTGTGCTATGCCCACAGAAAATAACCCAAAGACATGGGAATTTCAGAGGAGCCTTTGCAGAAGGGGATTCACCCATGAAATGCCAGGGAAGGACTCTCCCCTATCAGCCCCCCAGCAGGAGAATTCACCCTCTGTTCACTGCTCACTTATTCACCCTATTTATCATGGACCAGAGATGCTCAACAAGGCCAGGCAGAGACAAGAGGCACCAGTGAGACATTGTTACCCTTTCTCCCCTCTCCCGAAATTCTGCCATCCACCAAGACTGGGCTAGAAAACCTCTATTTCTAGAGCTTAGAAAGGGGTGCCAGTGGCAATCCTACCGTCATTGTTTGTGTCCATCTGTCTGAAGATCTTGTCTGTTCGCTTCTCAGGAGTGGATTCATCCTCTGGCATTTTCATTACTGATGAAACCATTTTGTAAATTGCCTGAGTATTAAAAAAGTTTAAAAAAAGAGATATAAGAAAAACACAACCCAAATGATAAAGCATAGGACAGAGAAAAAGAATTTCAGCCTGCAGCAAGAAAAAAGGACAGCTGACCCTGGCAGGCAGCTGCAGGACTTTATAAACCAAAATGAAAAGGAATTTCTGACTGGAGCCTTTTAATTTTTCTTTCCTGTATTCATTTGTGCTTCAAAAGAAGAGCTGGGTCAGTTTAACGGAAAGTCAGAGTCTAGATTAATGTATGAGCAGGACTGAGCTAAAATAGAGGAGACAATGGTGCAGCCAGGCTAAGCCAGTGCATCTTTGTCTGGCTCTCACCCTGCATCCAGTTACATCTATGCATGTGGGGTGCTACATGGATTATGGTGAATATGAATATACAACAGTAGGGTTGTTTACCATTGTGGATGGGTGAGGAAATGCATCTTCTGACTTACAAGAACATGACTAATGACAAGACCTCTTTAGACTATCTGCAGTCTTAGACTTCCACCTAAATTAACAACAGTAGGGTTGTTTACCATTGTGGATGGGTGAGGAAATGCATCTTCTGACTTACAAGAACATGTAAGACATGACAAGACCTCTTTAGATTATCTGCAGTCTTAGACTTCCACCTAAATTATCCCACCCCAGCCATGAGGACCAGTGTCAGGGCACTGGCTGTGCAAAGGCACACATCTCAGCTGCACAGTGGGTGACAAGCAGCCACTGCCGAGGCCAAACCCCCACCAGCCTGTGGGGTAGGGGCACAGGGGACTGCGCTGCCTGCCCCCACTACAGCCTGTGGTCTGTGTGTCCTCTGCCTTTGGGAGACAAAGGCATGCTACAGCCTTTCATCCAGAGTTCACATTGACTCAGATTTGAAGATTCAAAGCATTAATTCTGAGATTAATCAGGTCAACAGAATTTGCATTTAAGGTTTTTGATCCTGTGAACATCACACTAAGAAACCCCCAGGGAGAGCTGCAGAATTTTGGCTGCAGGCCAGCTGCACAAGTGCCTTGTCCATATCTCAGGCCCTTTCCTCATCTGCATCTTGTAGGTCCCATCATGGGTCCCTTTGGGGACCATGGGCTCAGGAACCTCCCTGGGGCAGGAGTGACCCAGCTCAGCACATCCCTCCAGCTCCAGCTGTCTCATGGTGAAGAGGTTACAGCAACACAAATAAGATGTCCAATAGAGATAACACCTCACCTGCACTATTTCTAGCATTTCCCCACGGCTGATGTACCCGTTGCCATCCAGGTCGTACATACTAAACGCCCACTTCAGCTTCTGTTCCAGCTTGCCCCGGGAGGTGACGCTCAGGGCGATGATGAATTCCCTGAAGTCGATGGTCCCGTCGCCGTTAGTGTCAAAGGTGCGGAAGACGTGCTCCGCAAACTTCGACGCATCGCCATAGGGAAAAAAATTTGCATATATTTTTTTAAACTCTTCTACAGTCAAATGGCCCGTGGGGCAATCTTTTAGGAAGCCCTTGTACCACTCCTGCAGCTCATGGTCTGTGAACTCAGTGTTCTCACGCAGGTCCTGGAGCACCTCGGGGCGCAGCTTGCTGTTCTGCTTCCCCATCCTCTTCTGGGTCTGGGTTCAGCAGCTGCAAAGCAAGAGAAAATCTGCCTGAGCTCCAGCCACACTAGGCAGAGGGGGGCTGGCAAGATGTAGAACCCTGCTAGAAACACGGGGTTCCCCTGGGGCAAGGGGGAAAGATGAGAAAAAGGATGCTATAAATCACCAGGAAAAGACCTCATTTAATTTGGCTTCCTTTCCTCTCCTCTAGGTTCTCCCAGTGACTAATATGCTGTGGAGGGGAACGTAGTTTGGGAGGAAGTATTTGGAAAATATTAATTCTTATAATTAATCCTTATTATATGGTAAATAATAAAGCTCAGTCTTTTAGTTCTGTCCCGCAATCCCACTCCTCCACCACATGGCTTGCGATGCCCATCTCTGGATTCCTACACAGGTTGAGCAGGAGCGGGCAGGGACAGCAGCACTGATGAAAAGAAAAATTCATCCATTCAAAAGTGAAACTAAATGCAGCTGACCAAGAAGCAAGAAGGACAGGTGTCTCTGTGCCAGTCATGTTTGCCTTGTCCAGATGCTCTCTGAAACCCTTTGGCTTATACAGCTTCTCCTCCCTCCCTGCATCCCTTGCCCCACAGCAATGGGAGCTTGGTCCTGTATGGTGGGGCTTGGTTAGTGCTCCTTGTGGCACCTGAGGGTCACAGGAGGGTGCAGCAAGGGTAAGCTCATCACAGCCCATGCTCAACAGCAGCACCCCAAAAGACTTCTCCCTCTTTTTCTCAGCCGTGGAAACAGCATGAGCAGATGGATCACTGCAACAGCAGCACCAGCATAAGGGATTTCATCCTTTCCAGCCCTCCCAAAGAATCAGAGAATAAGGCTTTTTAAAGCAAAATGTTTGACAAAACAACTCTTTTCAGGTTTACTTGGGTTTATACTTTTAGAGAAGCTTATTCAGTAGGTTCAATATTCCCTCACCAGAGCCAAAACACATTTAAATCCAGGATTTCATCAGGATATCAGGAGAGGGCTGGGTCTGTCCTCTCTCTTGACAATGCCCATATTGTACCATACAAAGTGAGTCTGCCCAGCAATAGGAGAGCTCCTTCAGCAAAATGAAAATGGTCAATCTGCAGTTAGGCAACAACAGGAAAAAACCAAAACCTTGATAATTTCTTACTTTTATCCCTTGCAGTCTTTCATGGCTACCTAGCAATATCAAACTGTGCTGCTGAACTAGAGGTTGAGCTCTGTGGTATGTCCTTCCTCATATTCAAGAAGTTTATTCACAAGTGTGCAAAGACCCCTGTGACTGGTTTGCATAAATGATATTTCTCTGCACAGACTGTTGTGCCTGTTGGGTTTGCTCAGACCCAATGCAGAAGACAGGTTAGTAATAGGCCAACACTGCAGACTACCTGGAAACTGTAAGAGCTGAGCTGCAAAGCATGCAGAAACCAGGAAAACAGGGGCTAAGCACTTCCCAGAGAGTAAAAATTCCAAGCATGCATAAGAACCCAAAAAAATTTAAAATGCTAAAGGTCAGCAAAAAATAAGTTGCTCTACAGCAGAATGTAAACTTGTTTTATTTGTATTCCACTTAGTCTGTCCACTGCCTCAGCAATGTAAAAAATCCACATCCTGCTCTGTGGCTTAATGCTCAGAGACAAACAGCTGCTCGTTAGTTCCGTGCATTTGGCTTAACGGACAACTGTGTTATCATTTGCACTTCTGTTTTCCAGAAAAGCTGCCAATACTTCAACTCCAAAGCTTTACTTTTGTCCATTATATTGCAGAGTTTTCTCCACATACCTGACATGCCTCTGCTTGCTCCCAATGTGCGGGATGCTACAGCTCCTGGTCCCTGCCAGAATCACTCCTAGGAGAGCATCAGGCTGCCCTCCAGTTAAACCACTAACTCTCAGCTACTGCCTTTCCGTCTTCAAATCTTCTCTACTCCACATAGTCATCCTGCAGTGCCGAGGACAGAAAACACAATATTCTAGTCTGCTGAAGTCAAATGGCAGAAAAGAGCAGCTTGGAGCAAATAATGGTTCAGATGTGATCCATTTTTTTAAGGAGCAGAAATTGTAATAGTATGTTCCTCTCCTTGGTGAGGAGGTGCCTGCAGTTTCCAGCCTTCAGGGAGCCCCTCCACTTCATGATTCCCAGGTGCTTTGTAACAACTAGTGGCTGGGTTGAAAAGCCACTAGTTGAAAAGTCCCTGCCTCACCAACCACTGCCTCAAAATTCCCTGGGAGAGGGGCAGGAGGAACAGCAGAGCCCACTTAATGCAGGAGCTGGGCTTTAAGCAGAAAGTGCCTCAGCTTTATTGACTTGCAGGGTTAAGGACTGCAAAACTTTCAACTGGTAGTTAAAAGAGCCTCAAAAAGGTTTAATATAATTTCTCCCTATTCCTATAATACCTTTATTATTCTTGTTCCCTTAAAAAATAGACAACCCAAGACAACAGAGAGCTAAAGTAATAATTATAGATTAATAGAATAAATAAATAAATCTAGAACTAGATTTCACTACTTCTCCTAGTTGTAGATACATCCTGTTATTTGAAGAGATGCTCATTAAATATCAGCTTCAAAAGCTTTATATTCAAGCAATCTTTGCATTCAAAAGATTACAGGCCTTTTCAACCCTTCCTCCTTTCACATTGCTTTATATCAGAAGATGTGCAATGCTCTGAACAAAACCTTTTTTTGCATATGAGCTTTCTGAAAGGCTTCATAACAAATGCAATCCTGCAGTTGTAACTAAATTGATGTGAATAATTAAATAACCAACATTAACATTAATTTATTAAAGCCCATCAAAAAAACCCCCAGCTTTGATGTAAATTGTGTTGCAGGTAGCTCCTTCAAAATGAAATGCCTAAATATCTCATTAATCATGACAGCAACCCCTGCTGCTGGCATCCAACTGACATTTCATTCGATTGCTATAAAATGCTTTCATCAAATCACTTTCCAGAGGCTCAGCAGCTGATTTAGCCACAAGACCACTCACAGGATGGCTGCTAATGGAAATCACAGGGAGCAGGGCTGGGATGCTCTGGTCAGTCCTGTGATTAGGGCTGTGTTTTGTTGCTTTTTTTAAACGAGCTTACCAGCTAAATCACTTGCTGCAGTGGATGTAGAAAGCAAAGCAGAAGAGACATCCTTGCACCCAGCATTGCCCTGGGCAGTTAGCAGAGACCGAACTCCAGCACAGCCCTGCCTTTCCCTCATTTCCCGTCACACCAGGGTGAAATCCAGGGAAGCAATGCCACACACACTGCAGCAAGGTCTGTCCCTGCTTTCCTTGATGAGCAAAAGCCCTTAGAGCATCTGGCACGATCACAGCAGTAAGAAAAACAATCAAAGGAATGCCCTCAAGGTGATCAGACAAGGAGCACCTTGGTTGTCTAAATGCAGAGCTGAGGCCTTAGCAAGTCAATCACTGCTGGTGAAAGAGACCCTGGGCCACGTAAGGCTTCAGCAGGGGTAATGCAGATGCACTTTTGGTCCAGTTTCACACCAAAATTTTTGTTACAATTATGCGGCACCTGTTCGAATTCTAATTAATTCTAGCCAGGCTCAAAACCAAGCTGCCAGAGAACTCCCACCTGAATGTAACCTTTGTCCTTCTAGGCTTACAAAAAATCAGCAATAATCTCATAGCAAAAGCCTAGCAATGAGCAAAAAGGTCTTTTACTGAGTCCAAGACACACACTGGTGTCCTGTTTTCAGCTGGGGCAGTGTTCATTTTCTTCCTAGTAGCTGGCACAGGGCTGTGTTTTGGATTTGAGAATGAAAATAATGTTGATAGCACGCTGAAGTTTCAGTTGCTGCTGAGCTGTGCTCACCCCAACTCAAAGACTTTTGCAGTTTCCCGTGCTCTGCCAGTGAGAAGGTGCACAAGAAATCTGGAGGGAGCACAGCCAGGACAGGTGACCTGAACTGAACAAAGGGATACTCCACAATGTCATGGTCAGAATGTAACTTGGTGGGGAATTGTCAGGGCAGGGGGCTGATCACTGCTCAGGGATGCACTGGTCAGCAGGTGATGAGCAATTGTACTGTGCATCCCTTGGATGTTACCTCTCTCTCTCTTTTTATTATCTCCCTTTTCACTACAATTGTTATCATCATTATTATAATAATATTTTATTTTATTTCAGTTATTAAACTGTTCTTGTCTGAACCCATGGATTTACCTTTTTCCCCACCAATTCCCTTCCTCATCCCACTGAGGGCTGGGGTTAAACCACAAGATTGGGTTATGCAGCACTGGGTGAGTAACTGTAGCAGAGTCTGAAACAGCTAAAGTAGCAATTCTGTATTTTTACCAACAGATGGACTGGCTGTCAGCTTCCACACGCTAAAGTACTTGAAATACTTGTAACAAAGCTCAGTGCATCTCACTTTCACAAGAGGTCTCTGTCAACTGCCAGTCACAGCTGGTAGAAGTGTGCTTTGACCATGGAACCCAGAAAGCCAGAGACCTGGCTTTTACTGCAAAGCTTGGGAAAGCAAAACCGCCTTGACACAAGCTCATGATGGGATCCTCTCAGTGAATCAGTTACAGCTGCAAAATGAGGAATATCTCCTTAGAGATGTATTTCATTGTGCAAACCCCCTTGGATACTAATTTAGTGCTAATAAAAAGAGGAAAATTGATGAAATGCCTGTCTATAGGACAGAGGTGCTTTCCAGCTGAGAAAGGCAGTGCACAGAGAAACAGAACTCTTTATATTATCTGAGCTATCTGCTTTGCAGGGGGGAAGTGTAGCACCATTTCTCTTCCAGTGCTCACTTATAAAGCAAAATAAGTGTGTCAAATCTGTTACAGTCGTGAAGCTGTAGTACAGTGCCTCCGTGACTGCAGGAGCCCAAAGAAAATGAACAGCATGAGCCAGGCAGCAAACATTGCTCTGGGTTGGTCTGAAATGCAAGAACCATTTCAACAGGGGTGAAATATTTTTTAATTAAAATACCTAAAGCATCAGACCTGTCACTGAGGCTCTATTTTTAAAATTTTGATCCTTGTATTTAAAAAAACCAAAATGAAACAAAA